TTTGAGAGGATTTGTTTAATGACTTCCTGCTCTTGCTTCTACTATTATTACATATATTGTTCTTGATTCCCTTTGATAATTCATTAAGGGTTTCCATCTGTCTATTTGTATGTTCAGTGTTTTGTGCATATATATTTTTATAGTTTTTTATAATCATCTGCCGCTCTTTGACAACGCTAATCCACTAGAGAAAGGATTGATAAGCGTACTTTCCAGTGATAATTTAACATTGCGTTGTAGGCTCATTTATTCTTCTTTAAACTAATTTCCTTGTCTTCTCTCTTTTCATTGAACAAATTTCATCCCACATTGTTTCATTTCCATTTCTGTTATCTTTCCTATTCCTATTAAACAATCTTTTGCAACATATTATACTGTAAATAAGCTGAGTAACTATCGCATCCTATTTGCTGACGCCACTTGTTTCACGATGGAACATCTGCAATAGGAATTGGATGGAGACGGTGACGTATTCATTCAGCTATTTAGCACATCTTATTTTGTATACTATATTTTTGGTTATAACTTATTTGTTCTTATTTCCCAATTATGACAGCAAGCTTTTTTGGAATATGTTGTTTTTCAGAAGAAAGTCGTCTTAAAAATAAATTTTGTAATTTGAAAACTAGCTCAAGTAACAAACATAATATATTTAGCACTGATATGTAAGTTCAAAAATGCATAAAGTTATCGAACGATAATATTTTTCTACCACCACTTTCTACTTCACTTATTTATATTTTACTATGTAATATATTCCTGCTGAGTTTATATCCCATCCAACAAAGTTTCCACTAGTTATTTCAGAAAGAAATTGGATACTGAGAAATAACCTAACATGTATATTGTAAAAGTTGTGGAAGAGATGGGGTAATAGAAGAGAGGTTAATCTGGTTGTTGTATTACAAGTGTCGTTGTCAAGGAGCACTGTCGCCCTTCTGATTATCCATGTTTATCCTGTGATTCTCCCGATCTACGATCTCCTCTATTATCATGGAAAAACTATAGTTGTTATGCCATCTCACCAGGTGGTTCGCTCTTTTTTATCCATCCAACACTGATCCTCTTCTAACAATATTTTCCTGATAACCGAGCTACTGTATATTGTTGACACAGATAACAATGCTCACTCATTTCTTTAAATTAAAAAGCATGTGTATCCGTGCCATAACTGCAAGTGTGAGTAAACAAATCAATTAAAAAGAAAAGAACATGTAGATGAAATTGGGGATTGATGGAGTACTTGAACACTCCTAAGCTTTTAAGTTTTGGCAGTAAACTTAAATATGCTTTTGGTTGGCTAATGAGATTAGTCGTGCAGAATATCCATCCTGTTGCATAAATTTTGTAAGTGCGTTTTCAGTTTGCTACTCATTACAGTTTTTTTTTCAAAGATGACGTTTAATTTAAAGGTACTTTCAAAAACATACAGGAAATGCTTTTCTTTTCTGCAAAAGTGTGTAGCAGATGCTGTCATAAAGAAACAAAAATTTTTTTCCAATCCTGACATGTCTTTATGTTACAAATTAGCCTCGTAAAATGACGAAATATATAGTATTGAGGTGTAATGTTAATTAATTAAGAGTAAGACAGCTGTAATGATAATGAGTGACAATAAAATGGCGATATACTCAGCTGATTGTAAATCATACGAACAGAACATCTTAATCATCTTACAATCTAAACGTTTAATTTATGTTACTCATAATTGCAATGTGATAATTAAACTTACGTATGCAATTTACAAGAGAAGGTTACGGTCACTGTTGTTTTCTGCACCCTTCAATCTTGTTCTCTTCTGTTCTAGCTATTTTAATTTGAAATTGATTAAAACGACACGACAAATGGGCCCACTGTGATAGCAGAAACAATACATTATCGTTATCGTCGGCATATTCTTTGAAGTGTTGCTGTTATTCAGCTCCTGCTGTTCATTTTTGTTGCAATATTCGCAGAATGTACTTTTGCATCTTTTATAGATGCTCGTAATTTCTTCAAGATGGATTCACATCTTCTCATTTTTAAAATTCGATAACTCTAGAATACCGTCAGATTTTTGGTTGTTCAATCGAATACCAATTTACTATTTAATTTTTCTGAGAACAATGGAAATTTTCAAATTTTTTGATTAAGAATATTGAAAAATATATCATACATGGATCAGATATAATAAAACTAAATTATTCGTCATTTTTATTTATGAAGTATAATGTAATAAATATTAAATCATATCAAAATTCATATCAAAACGTTTTCGTTTTTCTAACAGAATTTTTTTCGTTTAATGATCGAATTCAAAAATTCCAGCTACAAATTGAAAGAAAAAAGTTAACAATGCAATTACAACGGTGCGGCTTTATACGTCATACGTCATCATAGCTTTAATAAGACATACTATATCGAAGGATTTTCAAAAAAAATGGTAGGCGTCATGTTTAGAGACACAAACTGTGTAATAGTTATTGATTCTAATATGAAATCGGAAGATCCAGTGGAGTAAGAAAGGAGTGAAAATTCAAGAAGTTGTCAACGAATGGAAGTTTGATGTTAATTTCAAAAGCTAAATAAACAAAACTGCATGCGTATATACTACTGGTTTATCTTACTTGTATCCCATTTTCTCCGATCGACTTGATCGGACGGTTTGCGTCATGAAATCATGACATAGTGGAAGAAGGGAAACAAAGAGGCTCTGTTGTTTTCCATTCCATTTCTTGAGCAAGTTTTAACTAAACGGTTATGACCAATCGGTGCACTCCAGTATCATATTTCAATGAAATTATGCTTTGGTGCTTCATTTCCAAAAAAATAGTTTGTTAAAACGGTCGTTTTTTTTCTAAATATTAAGATTTCGGGGCTGGTTTCGGTTTCAAGATAGCAGTACAATAAATGAAGCCCGATTCAAGGTATAATGAATAGTATTTTCCATAATCGCTTTTGTTCAGTCATTATCATATTATTTTTATTGGATTAGCTCGATTAACACATATATGGCTTACAGGAATTGAAAGTAATAAATCCTGTCTAAATGTTATAAAGGTATTTCGCAACCGACTTTATATTCTGCAAGTTGAGAGATACGCAAATTTGGCGAAGGTGAAAATGTTTTTCAATGTGAGTAATATACAAATTTCTGAAAGTTCCGGGAAAGAAAGGATGTTTACATTCATGATAAAATACACTGCTGAAGTAATAGTTGGAAAAAAAAATACATGTGAAAAAAAGATGGAGGAAGGGAAGTCAACTGCTACATCATATTTGATTGACAACTGTGAATGACAGATCCGTCAGTATGAGAATGTATTCAGGTTCAATCTCATTACCACTATCATTATTACTGCTATCAGCGCTATTATTTGCAGCTTAGTTCTGCAGTAAGCAACACTATAAGCAACGTCATTCAGTTCAATGATGCTCGGAGTTTTGCTGATTTGTAAACTGCGTATATCACAGCCTTCGGAATAGTTCCCAATGAAAGATTCAAACGAACAACCAAATAATATGTATCAGTATTACGATAAACACACTAACATTTTCGTCCGATAAGATGCCGGTATAAGCTTTGTTATAACTAATCGATAACAGATTTTAAACTGGTCTATCTGCGACAAATTAGAGCTTTTCTGATGTCTCAAATACCTTAAATTTCTAAACTTGAAGAGATACAGTATGTGAATTGTGTAGAGATCACATCTTACTTACAGATTCCATGATTTTTTCGGCACTGTTTTTTGCATCCACAAACAAAGTAAACAAAATAAAGTTCCTTTCAAGGTTTTTTTTTTTTAATTTTTTAAGTCTGCAAAAACAAACGTAACTCACTTTTTTCCCCAATCAAAACCTTAAATTTATATTAAAACGAAATTTGAGTATTTCAAATTTTTGTCCCAAATTACTGCAATAGAAAATATCAAATGCGAGATTAATCTAATAATTAATATCATTGAATCTATCCAAGGCTTTGTTAGACCATGTATTTTATTAAAAATCTCTCCAATTTTTATTTAGTATACCATAAAGGAGAAGGAATTAGGACTGCCTAAAAAAGAAAAAGCTAGTTTTGATTTTGGATTAGCTCGTTTTAGGAGAAGTCATTAGATTGTGAGAAAGTGCATGGGGATAAAACAGTGTTAATGCAGACAAATTGACGACATGAACAGCAACACCGGCTTCTATGCGTTGCAAAGAGCAGACGACATGCTGTGCGATTTGCATACTGGTATTAGTCCCATTATCGCATTTTGTGTATCTATGTAGTACTCTTGCCGCCCTTTCATAATCACCAAAAGTGCCTGAAAATTACAAAAGATAGTAATGTTACGACATGCTTTTCTCCTGAGGACAACAAAAAAATTGCTGGCCCTACCGCCGTTTTTGTTCATTAGGGTGACGATGATTAATGATAACAATGAAGTATGCAACCCTTTCTGATTCATAAAACTTCCAGCACAACACCAAAATACCGAAATGATGGGAATAAGTGAAACATCGAAAAAAACATCGAAAAGTTCAAACGCACCGCACCATTCAATATTGTTTGAGTGACCTACGAAGAAATTAGAGCAACACGAATTGCAAAATCATTTTTACTATCGAAAAGCCGACAGTTCAAGAACTTATTGCTTTTACATTTAGTTCGTATTACCGTTTAGCGATTATTCTACATAAATTATTTCATGATGAGAAAATGGCACAAATATTTCAGAAAAAATAAGGTTAAGACTTTACTGTCTTCGCAACTTACTCCATTGTATAATGCACTTTTCATATTTGCGTCAACTTCCACTTAATTTAATTTTTAGCATACATTTTAATGGAGCAAGAAAAAAATCGAAACACAAACTGCTCTTCTTATATTGTTATATTCATAAACTGCAGTTTGAAAATGACCATACAAATAAAATCATAATAAATCGCATATCTTAGCAAAAACTTTATCATCACATTTGCACAGCTCTCATCAACAAGCATATGAAAAGATGAAAGTACAAAAGTGACATTTATTCGAATCTGATTGGGATTAAAGGAAACTGCGCCCCTGATGGATCTGAAACATCGACGAGAAAGCATAACAAACCACCAATACCTTCAAACAAACTGTATGGACTATCTGGTATTCGGGCATGCTTTCTGAAATTCTGATCGCATGCAATTCGAGCGAAACATTGCGCATATTTGAAGTACTTCTGGAAAAGCATGCCATTTGACAAGTTAAACCTATATTATATAATTAGAGTACAAGGAATGGCTGGATCTTACTAAAAAAAAATCCAACATCGATTATGACGTCATATACTATCTCTATCAAATGCAAAAACTTTATTTAATCAAAATCAATTCGTAATTAAATATTTACCTCCTTCTGGGTTAGACGATAATAAAGAAGGAACGCATAACCACCACCTGCAACACCATGACAAATTCCTGGCCCTTTGCGCAGAACACCTCGTTCCCAAATAAGATCAAGCGCTTTTTCAGCCGCCTAAAACATCCTTAGTATGAAAAATGGTTGTTTTAATGATAGAAATATACTACGAACATTCTATATAAATAAGGAAACTAAAAGATGGGATGATTAAATTCTTGACCACTAGCCCTATCTGCGAATATCGACAATATTGAAGAAACAAAAGAATCTTATTTAATAAAAATCAGTTTTTTTAAGCGCATACCAGACGGTGCGTTTTAATTAATTAAGCGTTGTTACTGTCAGTAAGTTAACAGAGCAGTCCACATAGCAAAAAAGAGAACTGGAAATGAGAACTTACAAAAATCATCGTTGAAGAAAAGATTACATGTTACAATTTTGAGAAAATACGCCGTTTATATCAATGAACAGGCCATTTATAAGAAAAAAGAAAAAAAAGAAAAAAGGTAACGTGAAGAATACGAAGAACAAATACCTTTAAAAATTTGACTTTTTTAGTACATATATAAGCAACAATCATTAAATGAACAGCACCAGTCGCACCATGACACCAGTGCAGAAGTTCATTGGATCCACGTTTTACGCCGATTTCTTCAACACTTGGAGCGAAATTACCATTTTCTTCTTGTATTTCCAGAAGCCAATCCAATGTGCTGTCAATATCTCTTAATGCTGCATCATCCAGAAGATCAGAAAAACTGCAATTATTAATCTGAATAGATTTTCAAAAATTACTTCATGAAAAATAATTTTTTCCATGAGTAGAAGACGTTGTAAAAGAATGAGGAATATCAACAACAAATTTTCAGAAATAGTTGTAATAAAAGAAAAGTCTCATTTTTTTTACCTAAGCAACATTTGTAGAATGCCCATCAAACCATGAGCAGTACCGAGGTATTCAACATTATAATACTGATACATCAACGGTGCTCGAGATCTATGCCGTTTAGCGTAACAACGGCCAGAATTGATTATACAATCAATCACTTTTTTAATACATGAATTAGGTATGATTTCATGATGCAAACGCATCCTGCAAAAAAAGATAATTCAAGTCTTAAAACTAATACAGTAGAGCTTGCAAAATTAAATGAAAAGACGAAATTTCTCACTTGAAAACATTTTCACTCTTTTGTCTAAATTAACAAAATACTGAACATACCAACCTTAAAGTTAAAATTGCTGCTAGAAAGCCAGCTCTACCAACAAGTATTTCATCTGCACCATTTGGTAAATAATCTTTAGCACATATCACATCAATCAAGGATGTTATTTTATCAATGACAGTTGTATTTACAAACTTCTTCATTTCGTAATCCAGTATAGCTTTGATGACATATATCCCAAGTGTACCAAGCAAATATTGTCCTTCGTCTTTGCGATGTCTGCTTTGCTGCAGAAATCTAATACGGTCAATCTGGTGAAATAACTTTTTATGTATGGAAGAGTTCCGAAATTTTTTTTCACCATGTCAGCACAAAACGAAAACACACTAAGATGGTACTCTAAAATGGAAGATCTAACCAATCATTCCCATATGTTATTTAAAATTGATAGTGATCTAATGCAATTGCCAGACTAACCCTTGCCATTTACTGCATGCATATGAATAACCAAACGGTACATGAACAGCAGATAAGCAAATAAAAAGAACTACTACCATTAGATTTCTTTATTAGTAATTACAAAAGTAAAAAAAGAAATAAAACCTTGACTCGCTTTAATTGCTCCTGTATCATTTTACAACAGAAATTTGCGTACTGTTCTGCCTTCTCTGGCAAAAGTCGCGAGGCATACAGCACGCTGTACCCGTCACCTGCAATGCCAACGTATGCACCTCCATCGTAATCGTCCAAATCATGTCTCCGTTTCATGATTTCTTCTACGAGATTTGTGGCTTCCTGTTTCAGGGTTTCTTTAGTCACCTTCAAGTAACATCAGTTCAAGGCTTTTGTGAAAAGCTGTGAATAAAATGTGCTGATATGCAAAAGTTGATGAAAATTTTCACTTGAAGAGTAACTCCGATACGGTACGAAATCGATAGCCACCATGCTGCACAATTTGCATCCGTAAAAACAACTGCATCGCGTTCAAATTGCATGATCCAAAAGAAATACGAAAAGGCAACACGACACGTACTTGAATAATTAATGGAATTATGGAATTTAAACCATTAGATGCACAATATGAATACCTTATCCGATTCAGCTTCGCTATTGGTCAAATATGGATTGTCAAAATATCGTCTATGCACCACACGAAACATGGCCTCACAATCTTTTCCACTTTCCGAAACTGTAAACATACGCGAGAAGCACATTTTGCCCACTCACCTCCAACGTATCGTTACACAAATTCTTGTTTAAACCTTATCCAAAACTTACACAAACCCTTGTTTAAACTTTATTCAAAACATTCCGTTTATTCTACCTTCACATTCATTTTGAATGTATAAATGTTACCGAAATCTAGATACCTGTTTACTATATTACAAAGCAGAGAATTACTGCGGTGCTGTTGTAAAACACTACAATGACAAGAAGAATTTTGCGAAGCCAAATTTATTTTTTACGGAAACAACTGGCACGATATGGTAATACCTTTCTCACTCTCTGATGTGCATAATTTCAGAAAATAAAACAACATATTAAAGGTAATTAGGTAAAAGGAATGGGTACAAGAGGAAACTGTGCCTTATCTGGTTCCAATAAGTCGCACATAAAACATAAAGTTCCACTTATCCCTTCAAATAAGCTGTACGGTCGGTCAGGGGTCCGAGCACACCGTCGGAAATTTTCACTACAAAAAGCTTTCGCAATACAGCGAGCGCAGTCCAGGTATCGCTGAAAGAAGAAATCAACATAGTTCAGCACAGTGACTTGCAAAAAGTTGCGCGTTCAGGTCATCTAAACAGTATAATACATTTCTTGTCGGGTTACACCAACAATCTTTATTGAAAACAAAGAAAAGAGCTATTTGTTGTAGTAATTCTCAATCCAAAAACACATGAAATTATTATAACTTTACAATTGCTGTTTAGCAATAGATAAAAACTCTATTTTAACATGTAGTTGCTCAAAACCAGTGCGTTCTCTCGCATGTACGTTAATGTTTTAGATCCAAAAAAAAGCAAATGAAACAAAGAAACCTGCTCATTCGTAAGTCGGTGAAACAATAGGAAAGCATAACCACTTCCAGCAGTACCATGGCATATACCCGGCCCTTTCATCAGAATACCCTTTTGCCAAATAAGATTCAACGCTGCATCTGCACTCTGAAATTTCATTTCCATGGTTCGGGAAAAACCGCTGTACAAAGTTATTTCCTCCTATACAAATGATAAGTTCGATAACAATCAAAAGCGAGTAGCAGTTAGAATTTGAATAAAAAACAATCCAGACCTACAACACATACGGAAGCGCCCCACTTGTTATCATTATTTCATAGAACATATTTGAAAGAAATGACTACTTCAGAGACTGCTAAACTTCACCATGTGTTTAAGTGATACACCATGTGTCTAAGTGTAAGACACATAAAATAACTAGGTGAACTAACTTCCAGATATTTCTCTTTGCGGGTCCGTAAATACGCAACAATCATTAAATGAACAGCACCAGTGGCACCATGACACCAATGCACCAGTTCATTTTCACCTCGATCGACTCCTTTCTCTTCTACTTTTGGCGGAATGTTACCATTTTTTAACTGTAATGACACAATCCAATCCAGCGTTTCCAAGAGATCGGATTTCGCCTGCCCATCCAAAAATTCAATGAAACTGCAAAGAAGGTATTCGTCTTTAAACAGTTGGAAGAAAAGTTTTAAAAATTGACTTGCGTTCACTTCTTCATACGAAAACGTAAAACAAAAAAGTCCTCTACCACAAATTTTTAAGATACAAGCAATACCAAGGTGAATAACGGTTAAATTAAGAGCTCGGTTGAAGTTCAAACGAATAGTGATCATGAGTCTTTTAAGAGAAATGACGTTAAATCCTGTCTAGTGTGCATTTGTATCAACATTAGGAAATGTATTGCAGAAAACAACCAAACACTCCTAGTAACAATCAGAAGATTTAGTTTGGATTTCAAATGGACACACCACAAAAACTACACATTAGATTTTACCAAAGTAACATCTGCAGAATGCCCATAAGACCATGGGCTGCACCCAGGTAATGACGTCCATGATACTGATACATTAACGGCACCTTAAACAGTTTCGAAGATGCGTAAGATCTACCAGAAGCGACTATTTTATTTATAACATTCCCAATACAATCGTCAGGAATGATTTTATGTGCCATATGCTCCCTGGAAACTAAACAAAGTTTAAAAATAGCAATTTTAAACCAGAAAGACCAAAAAATGTAAGATAAATACTCGACAGGAAAAGATTTAAAAAACCTAAGAGTAATAACAGCAGCGAGAAAACCGACACGTCCAGCAAGCAGCTCGTCATCTCCATCACCAAGTACATCAGTGCTTGCTATAAGACGACCAATCTCAATAATACGGTCAATCAATCGTTTGCTTCTTTCGTTTTTTTCTTCGTAAAGTATAGAGATCACGTAAATACTTAATGACCCCAACAAATAACACGTTTCTCGATTCGACTCTTCCTGTAATTAGAGTAAGAAATTGCAGAAAGCCTTCAAGAATCACTACTGAAAAATCACAACAAACAGTGAAAACTTTCCTGTGATACAAAAAGCACTAATCTTCAAAGCTGACCAAAGTTACAAGCTAGAATTAAAACACTATGCTGAAGAAAATGACCGCTAAAAAGACAACAGATAGAAAGACTAGCTCAATTCGCTCATGCTTACTCATTCAGTCCAACTTATCTTCACGCCTTATCATTAAGCATGAAAGTCATACTTCGCACAGATTTCTCACTTTATTCTTCACCTACCGTATTCATAAGATGGGTATTATTAAAGCGTATTTTAAGTGACCGTTTTCTATAATAAATGTTTAAAATAAACTTTTCTAGCAGCTTCCAAATGCTGCATAAGTATGTGCCTTCCATATTTCATTGATTCCTCTTGATTGTGGTTAAAGGATGATGAAGATGCTCTTAACAGAGCATATGCAATACCGGCTCCACCGGTGTAAGCGCCTCCATGCAAATCATCGTTACTCGAAGGTCTATTCATTATTTTCTTCAGAAGCTGTTCCGCTTCATTCTCTAACCAAGACTTCGTGACCTGAAACAATGATTTAACTAGACTTAACTGTATTTATAGAAAGCACCACCAACTGTTATGATGAATACATTACTCAGGTCACATAGTACCCAGTGAATTTCAGCGCACTGTTTTACGAAATGATTTATATTCGCGAGTTTTTCACTTATATTGCCCCTTAAAAGTCTATAAATTAATTACGACCGCATAAAATAAGTTAAATCGAGAGTCAATACAATGCACTATTCTTCCTTATACATTGAGAGAAAAGTATGATCAGCGAAGAAAGGCAATTACGGATTCAGCTCCTTTCTTGGGGTTCTTTTGATAGGGATTTTCCATATATCGTGGCAACCATTTTGAAGACATACTTTGCTTACTGAAATCTAAAATCTTTGTATTACATATTACATATTGTATGTTTTATATATTATATATAAAACACGGATTCAGCTCCCTTATTGGGGTTCTTTTGATAGGGATTTTTCATATATCGTGGCAACCATGTATATATATATATATATATTTATATATATATATATATGTAGCGTGCCCTAATGAGGTTGCGAGCCATACTGGCGGTAGCTTATGTCCCGACAGGGTTTCCCATGCTAGACAGGTCTCAAGTGAAGAGCCAGACAAAATGTGTTCATGGGTAGGATAGGCTCTCTAGCTTCCCGAAACCATCCTAAAAGGGGGAAATTCTAACTTTGAATCCGAACATATGAACCTTGCTTAGCCTGTAATGCCATCCTCTTAGCCCAAGTCCCAGTGGTTCCCACCGTTTTCTTGAACAGGGATCACTTTGGCTTCTTTAATTATAGCTGTGACCGCAAAGTTCAAAAATAAGTCCTGTTAATTTGCGAATAAATTCCAATCAGGACTTTTAACGTATTAATCAAGACTTTTTTAACATACTAGACAAGAAGAGCCCTGCCTCTTTTCCGTAGCCATCCTCGAGGAACACATTTTAGTGCTCGATAGGCCCTGGCAGATAATCCTTACAAGTAAAGAGTGAGCCAGTTTTCCGCACGCAGTGCCTCACCTAAAAAATCTATTGTGCACCCTGGAAGGATACACCCGCCTCTGTACCGTTAGCAGCATACGTGGGCAGAGCTTTTCCCAAATCCTCGCTCGTGAAACTTAGCCACGAGGACGATATATATAATTTTTGGAACTTCAGTTCAGCTAATTACCATCAGTTTTTTGCTAATATGTATTTCGACTTTTCCAAGTTTCTCAGCATTTTTCCCCGTATTTAGTAATGCCTGTAGTCATATACAACTACGAAAACTCATAATTCACGAAATTTCCCTCTTCCCCCGCGAATTCTCGCAGCACTTTTCACCGGAAACAGAATCCCCGGCTCATCTGATCGCTGTACCGCGATTTCACTTAGACCTCACCCCCAACGACTCGACTAAGTCACACTTATCCAACTCTGTTGCATATCACAGAGTATGAAATTCTTGTTCTCATGTTCGATCAGACGGCTATGATTTTGCATTATCCCGTAAATTGTGAACTGGATGCTTGGTTCATTCATTTATATGAACTTCATTAGTAGCTATGGTTGTTTTCAGAATAATGTTTCATCTTATCGTGTTCTTGTTATTTGATTTATTTCGGTTAAATTACGGCGCTGTTTTGCAGGAATGTTACAGACATCATGTAGAAATCTGCTTACGTTACCACCATTTGCCGTGTCTGTTACGAGGCTTGAAAGTGGCATTCCGTCGGTGAATGATATGAAAAAATCAGAAAATGATTACCATCCATCGAAATATACGATTTTGGGTTAAGCTTTATCCTCGATTTTGTGATGGATTTTTGGTTTCATGATTCATCTGGTCCTTTCTTATAAATTGTAAAGTCCTTTTGTCCACTCATAAAAGTCGTTACCAATAATTATTCAAATAAAGCAATCTTATGTAGGGAACAAACGGAGAGATCCAATGCATTATACCGACAGAAAAGTGGGTCGGGGTTACTGGCATTTCTCCAATACTATTTTTCACTCACGGCCAAAGATTCATCCAAAAATAGCGAAAGGAATAAAGCGGAATTTTTACTTAATTTTTGCTGTTCTTCTCGGCTTGTGCATAGATTACGATTGGTACGTTATTTCATGTGAATAAATTGGTTATAACATTCGTTAGCGTTAGCTGATAATTGCTTTTTATGGTAAAAAAATTGGTTAGTTTTTTATGTTTCTAATAAAGGGTAAGGTCATCCACAGAGTGGCTATCGCTAGTTAGAATCGAATCTTAATACATTAGAAGTTTGTCGTAATATTATGCAAGTGCATGTTTTTTTAATATAAATTTTCACATTATATAATTTTCTGTGTCTGAATTGAATCTTTTGCCCTAATTCAATATTTGTTGTTTTTTATCAAGGCTTGGATATCAGATTAAGAAATGCACAACGTATTTTCGTCCAGAAGCTGTTGATTACAACCTACCACATACCAAGAGTATGAGCCGCCGTCACTGTTCTGAATAATGTTGATAAGAAATGATAAAATTATGAAAGTCCTATACATAAATATTCCACAGGTAGGATTTTTCGGTATTTTGCGATTTGGAAGGTATACTTTTTTGGTAATATGTGTTGTTTTTTATCAGTCTTTTGAAATCATATTCGTTCACACTTCGATGAAAAATGGAATAACTTTCGTTCTTTTTCTGCAATATGTCTCTTTATCCGTCCAGTTTTAACGATATATCTTACTTTATCCATCCACAGATTTTCTTCGTGCACAAGTACAAACAATGGCATTACTATTTGGGAATGAATTCATCCCTAATCTCTTGTTCTAAAGTTCATGTTGAATTTTTAAGCTTTCAAACAAAGTATCATGGATCCATTTCCAAATCTTTTCATTTTGTTATGTACTCGTAAGTTGTATGAAATACCTCTTGCACTTTAGATAATAATGAACGATAGGGCCTCATCTCGAACATTTGTGGGAATAATGCATCCGCATTATTTAGAACTTAGTATATTCCTAATTTTTGAAACAGATGTGCGTTTCCAGCTTTTTAATTCTAAAATTGTATTTAGCTACGTTCGGGTGAAAGTTTTTGCTGATGGAGCATGATACTTCGTGTATTATATTGTAGAAAGTGGAAGTTATTAAGTCAGGAAAGACATTCAAAATTTCTTTGTTTTTCCTTTAATGATGCCATTATTTTGTTGCATTTGAGATCATGTTATTTGCAAAGTTAGGTGAGGACATTCTAATAAATTTTAAGGGTATTTGTTCCTGATGGCCATATTTTTCAATAAATCAGAAAATTTATTCCAGTGACTTATGGTTATGTGATGTATTTGTTGTTGCTTCCATGCGATTTTGGTATTTTTCAGATTGTTACAATTGGCTTTCTGTTTTTCCAATATTTCCTTCGGCTTTCACTCTGGCTTTTTGGATGTTTGATTCAATGACAATGGACAAGTTTTTTTTAAAGTCTTTGTTTTGGATGCATCTGCACGGAAACGAGAAATTGAAAATCGAGCTTCATGGTGAAGGACGTATTTCTCAAAGGAACGATCCCAGAGATATTATTTGCTGATTGTTTCTTGCTTACTCAGACGTTTCTGAAATCTTGTAATAGAATATTTAATTAAAGGATATGGAAGAAAAATAAAATTTTTTAATTGATGAGTACTTTTCATCTTTTTTTTGTTTGCTGCTTACGAGAGTTTTGCTTAAATCAGAAAATTTATTCCAGTGAGTTATGGTTATGTGATGTATTTGTTGTTGTTTTCATGCGATTTTGGTATTTTCCAGCTTGAAATCCCAAATTAAATTTACCTTATAACTTTGCACTTTGCATGTCCTTATGAGGTTGTTGCCTGTAAGCTATGTGGACTGTGGCAATTGCCTCTGGTAAGGCTTTCCATGATAGGCAGATCTCAACTGAGAGGTCAGACAAAGTGTGTCCATGGGCAAAATGGGCTCACTAGCTTCAATCATCCTAGGTTGAGAACAACTCTGATCTCAGATCTGGGCCGATGGAGCTCGTTTAACCTTTTAAGGCCATCCATCTTAGAGAAGGGTACTCTAGCTAAACCTACATCCTTCGCTGTACTGTCCAAGGCCGTGGCAGTATCATATCTTCCGACACCAGGATTGACGACTTGTCAGCAAAGACATACAGCGTTTTCGGAAAAATCTATAAAAGAGTCTAGTGTAATAAACACCTGAAGAGAAGTACTAAAATTAATGTCTAGAAAGCCATCGTTTATCTATTCTCTAATATGAATCTGAATCATCGGTTTCTCTAATATGAACCTGAATCATCGGTCGTCTGCCGCCACCAATACGACTCCTCGAACGCTTCCACCAGCGCTGCCTTCGTGCAATCCTAAACACCCACTGATCTGACTTCTTGACTAATGTTACTAATGTTACTGTTCTCGCACAGGGAAGGGTCACCAGTGTTAAGCCTGGACTACTGAGGACGCAACTGCACTGGATTGGGATAGGGGATCAGGGCCTTCCTAAGATTGTGCTCTGTGGTGAACTCGCCACGGCTTCAGCAAAAGAAAAGCTCCAAAGAGGAGATACAGAAACTCTCTGAAATAACACCTCAGCTTTGGCCATATAGACTGCCAACAATGGTCCACTGTGGCCTCGAATAGGGAGACATAGAAACACATTACTTATAACGCTGCTGCTTCCTTCGAGAATATGCGCAGAATCAGCCTCGAGAACAAAAAACATTGCAGGAAAAACCGCATCTCGCCAATATCGCCTAAGAAGATTTTACGTTGTGCTTTTAGCAATCGAATATGCTTTTTCCGCATTGGCCTTCCCAATCATCAGTGCGCCTGCAGCAATGATGAGTTTAGTCTTTTACATATCTTCGTTAGCGAAAACTAGTCATGGAGACGATATAGTGGTAGTGGTTTAACACTAGCATAACTATTAGACTAGAAGTTTTTTTACAACATTTCGACATTCTGACAATTATATGTAAGCTTGATTAACAGACTGGTAGATCTTTAAAATATCCTCACAATTGCAAATATTCGTTATAACAGATTGGATGAAATTTACAAGAGAGGACTTTATCTGCAACATTTAAACGTTGCAATTAAAATTGGTTAAAAAAGTTGGAAGAATTGGGTTTAGGTAAATGATTCATCACTTTAGGTATCGAGATATTTATTTTATTAATTTTGTGTGACGAATCATTTATCTAAGAAATATTCTGCATTCTAAATAAATTAATACTACAAATTTCTATAATATGAATCTACTTCGGCTTTTCCGACAATATCCTTCCCATTGTCTCAATTCTCACTTATACATAGTAGAGACAAGAAATTCCTTCCCTTCTTTGTATACCTCTGGCAAACGCAATCAAGTTTTTCATTACGTACGCTTATAGACCACCACCGTCATAGACCATCAGTAATTTCAGGGTTCAGTCTGTTTACCGGTTGTTTGTTGAAACGGAATGCATCACATTAGGATAGCTGCAGTAAAGTGGAAAAAAGGGAAAATTCATTAATATACTATTAGTTTCAGCGAATTGAGATTGTCCTTACCGGAGAATTTCAACGGTAACTGGAGTGACGTGCGAAGGAGGAAGTGAGGGGTTGTGGAAAGAAGAGAAGGTGAATGTACAAGACGGAGAAGAGAAAGCATGATTCGAGGAGTAAAGATCAAAGAGCACAGTACGAGTAGCGAGCAGTTGGTGCTGATTTGCTGGTCGATTTTCATTAAGGGTTTGATAAAGCTATGATGAATGAAGAAAGGATGGCGGTAGCGGGTGGTGCGGTATGTGAGAATACAGAGACGATGACAATGATATCTCAGGTAAGTGTCATCTATTGTTTGCTAATTGCTAATTAAATGCTTGATAGGATTTTTGATACTTTTGGATCTTTCATTTAATATAAAACAGTGGTTCTCAATCTTTTCTTGACCAAGCATCACTTTGGCTTTTTTATTTGTCGCGGGGATCATATGGTTCGAAAATAATAAATTTGGTAAATTCTGTTATTGTTCCGTTTAATCCTCTATTAATTTGAAAGTAAACTTTAGTCAAAATTTTTAACGTTTAAATTAGTATCATTTTAAATTGGTATCATCATTATAACTTGAAAAAGAAGGAATATAATTTTGATAGCCCTTATTTTAATTCTCGCGGACCATCGGTTGGGAACCATTAATATAAAACCCTACCTTTGCACATGGTCTGTTAACGGAATTTGGTAAGTGTCCAGTTCTGTTGCTGTCATCCAAGTGAACATCTCTTTTTTAGTTTAGAACGAAAATTTATATATCCTCTGTTACTGAGTTTAGTGAATATTGCAAATGACACACGTGTGACACGTCTCTTCCTTTTGCTCAGTTCTTTCAATTCGGTTTACTCGAGTTGTTTTCAGGAAGTAATGAATGTAAAGTGTTGCATTCAATGAAATTTTTCGAAATTTTCCTGCGTCCTCATCATTGAAGGGATAGAATAAGGCAGTGTTGATATAGGAGACAGTTGAAATTAGTGATTAGCTAATGCAACCGAATGTGCATTACTGTATGGTTTTACTGATAAGATACGAGACCAAGTTTTACTTCAAGATACGAGACCACTTAGTTCTGCTAGTTTGTTTGCTTGGAACGGTGAAGCTCCTGAAAATGAATTCGCTGCTATAATTTAGTAAGTTATGATTTATAGTTTGCATTCAACAGATGGTTTTTCAACAGATGATTTTTTTTTGGACAGATGATTTTTCGAAATGCGTTTTTGGTAATGCAATTCTTGATGCACACAAAGCAGTTTAAGATTACTACTCTAGAAAGTTAGTTTTATCAGTAGGATGCTTTAATTACTATTGCGATCTTGAGAATCGTCGAGTCCCAAATGCATTCAGAAATATGAGTTGTAGTGGATTGTTTTACTCAAAGCAACCTCTCAAATCCTTTTATAAAGAAGTTTAAAATGAATTAAATTGCAAAACTATTGTATCTTCTAGCAGGGAAGAAAAAACAGTGATATATTGATTCAGAATATATACTTTAGAAAAAATCTGCAAGAAGGGCACGTAATTTTTTTTTAGGACGTAAAAATAATTTGTGGAATAGTATGTTTAATATTCAAGGCTTATTCCAGTTTCTCACCACCAACAAATAAAATAAGAGCTAAACTTTTGTTAAAATTACATCATCCATTGCTCAAAAGGTAAAAAGAAACTTTGCTGTACAATTTTGAAGCTTGTGCACTTTTTACTCAAATATGGATGGGTGGATTCCAGAATCATGTTTCCGCTTTGTTAGCGACAGGTGGACATCACTTATTGCTGAATAGTATCCGAAAGAGAAAGCACGACCTTCCTACTCGGGATGATATGTATAATGAATATGACAAGTTCTGATTAGAGGAGATTAAATCCAGAAGAAAGGATTTACAGGAGCTTCCTGAAATGGAGTTTACATCTCTTACATCATGACATTGAAAATATTGCAATGAAGATTAAGTACATTTGGCGATCATGTTAGGATTAGAGGTTATTGCTTTCATCAATCTATTTTTCAAGTGTTTTACTAGCTTATTACTGTTATCCTCAATTTTTAAGCGACCAAAACCGAATTTGCCGTCGTTTGAAGAAATAAGACGTGCCGTGCCGCCATCATGTTTCGAAAAGTCGCTGTTCAAATCACTCTTTTATCTCGTTTTCGATTTTGTTATACTGTATGGTTTGTACAGATTTGTTGGTGTATTCGAATCATTTGGAATTTTTGGGCTATTTATATGGTAAGATACCTTCATATTTGCTTCGATTCGCATGGTTGCAAAATAACAATTTATGTTTTGCTACGAGAAAACCGACCTATTAACGTTGAGCACCCTTTTGAATTAAAAATAAATGATGCATATTGAAATGCTTACTGTAAATGATAAACTTCAGGTATTGCTTTACGGGAATGTTTGGATCGTCACTGTTTGTGGTTGGTCATGATTGCGGTCATGGTACCTTTTCCAAATATACTTGGGTCAATGATCTTTTTGGACATATCGCTCATGCCCCACTTTTGACACCATACTGGCCCTGGAAGAAGTCGCACAGACAACATCATCAGTACACTTCTCATATTGACAATGACATGGTCTATTTGCTTCCCTAATTTTTAAATTGATGTATAGATTGATTGTTTCAAATTTATTCAAACTTTAGGGACATCCCTGGGTGGTCGAAAAAGATTTCATGACACGAGGTTGGATAATGCGTCATTTTTCAAAGATTCCACTTTCCGGTTTTATTCGGTTAGTTAAATATTACATTTCTAGATATTACTGATGCGAGATGTTGATATAAATGTGGAAAATCTCATAGAAGCACCTTCCTAGCTATTGAAATCCTCTGCTTTTCAGACGGTAGCCACTTTTGGCCTTATAGTAAATTTTTTAACAAAATCCTACTAGTGAATGTACGTTTGTGACGAAGCTGTTCTTTCATCCTAACGAGAGATGCCAGTTTAATAGCCTCATTTTTTTTTTCAACAAAAAACATTTCTAGATGGAGCCCAATTTACACGATGGTCGGTCTACCAGACGGCAGTCATTTTTGGCCTTATAGTAAACTTTTTAACACCAATCGTGAACGAATGGAATGTGTTATTAGTGGTTTAGCATGTTTATTTTGTACTGTGGTTAGTTTATTAATCCTAAAAAATATATAACAAATACATTAAAAATGCATCTCAAAAGTGATTCCGCACAATATATGAAACTGCAATATTTTAGAATTTCAAAAACTTCATAACTGTTCCTGTCAATAATTTAATAAATATTTCAGGTGGCCTTTGTTATATGTAATTATAGCTGGTTCACATTCGTCAAATATTATTACATTTCGTTGTTGTTTCAAGGTTACTGGCTTGTTATCATAACTTATCTGCAGCACAACGATTATAGTATAGAGGTATGCTTCGAACGCATTTTCTAGCCCTTTTCTTTTTTTCTGGCCCCTTTTCGTTTTCTAGCCCTTTTCTTTTTTCCTGGCCCTTTTTCGTTTTCTAGCCCTTTTCTTCTGCCATCTAAAATCACCTAAAATGTCTTTTTTTTGAATCCATGAGATATATCTATATAATCCCTATCGCTTGACGAATGGAAGTTTAACAACCTTAGGCTTACTTCTCCAGCATGGTATGCTCTGCTTTCTGGTGTTTTAGGAAGTTATTTTTTTCTTTTATGCTTGCGGAGTGATTGTCACACTCAGTGAAGGAGTCACTACAAAAAAATTTGAAGCTTCAATTTAAATGGATTCTATTCAAAAACGTTTTAGCTATATTTTATTGGACGGAAAAATGATAACAAAAGCTGAATTTTAGATCCTTATAAATCTCTCAAAGGTGAAGGATTTATAACGCATTTAATAATGTAGTTGTAGAGTTAATTGCAAGTAGTCTGTCTGCTCAGTGTTGCACAGTTAAATCATTTTCATACCGCTATAGTATCATTTAAAGTTAATCAGACTTTTCTTGTTCCATGTATGTTTAGGTTTACGAGGAAGGCTACTGGAGTTATGTGATGGGGCAAGTACAAACCATTGATCGGGTGTATGGTTTTGGAATTGATACAGTGCTGCATCATATTACCGATGGTATCAATTTTTCAATTTTGATTTTTAAATAAAAAAAACTAGTGAAAGAACTGAACTAGTGTCAGTGGTTATCATAATCTCATATAAGAACATGTGTTTTCAGAAGGGATCTTTTTCTTAGAAATAAGTGCCTGTTTAAATCCTTTAAAGATGTTGGAAGAAGCGTGCTAAAAATTCTGTTTTAAATTATAAATCCATAATTTTTCATATATTTTATGTCAGTATTAATGATTTATCATTTTTAGGGCACGTGGCTCATCATTTCTTCTTCACGAAAATTCCGCATTACCATTTAATGGAAGCAACAGTGGCAATTAAAAGTGTCCTGGAGCCTTATAAGGCATATCGATGTAAAAGCAATACCGACTTTTTGTTGGATTATTTGACGCTCAATATTAAATTAGAATACCTTATTGGTAGAGGTACTGGCATTCTTACCTATGCTAGACAACAAAAAGAGGAATGATTTGTTGAGTTTTTTATAATAACCGGTTCAAAAAGAAGTGAACCCGGGAATTCTTTCACTTCAGTTTTTCAAGAAATGACGTTGACAGTTGATGACATTTGCTGGTAGAAGTTCGATTTTATTGATATGAATTCTGCTTCACTGGTATTAAAAATTTCTATTTTTCGATGATAGTAAAGTTCTTTGTTAATAATATCGCTGTGCTTCATTGATAAACATTTCTAGCTTAATTCTACAGAAAGAGATTTCAAAATATTTCCCTTAAGAGTACAGAAGGTTTTTTATTTTGAGTTAATAATCACCTTGAAGAAAAAATTACTAAAAATTAGAAGCGGGAAGGCGATAGGGAAAAAAAGAGACGGGCAAATCTGGACAGAAGAATTGCTGATTAAGAAATGTACAGCTCAATAAGTTAGCTAAAAGTATCAAGTTTTATAATTAAGGCATAAACGTAAACATTTGGTAGGTCTCTTGACCCTTTGCATTTTATTCCAGTTATCATTTCTTTCTATCCATTCAGAAACTCTGCTTTTTAAAAACACTGATTTGACTCCTGGGAAAAAAAAAGAATATGTACTGAAGTTCAACTGATGCATTGTGCCACATGTTTGGGTTAACTTGTAACGATATTATTCAGAAATAGTGGTGACGTGTTCGCAGAATCTTTGATAGCTGAAAATTGAGAATGTAAAAATAGGTCGTGCAACAGTGTTGGTAACCTGTTTGTAGATAGGTATCTAACTTATAGTAGAAGAAAGTTCCAGTCTTTGTATAGTTGTTCCCTGAATCTTTGAAAACAGGTTGTGCAAAACTAGACTAATTGAGAGTTCTTTACGGGCGTGAGTTGTGTAGTTTATCAGAAAAAAAAAATTAGAAAACTGAATGACGTGTGTCATTATCCTGTTTTGGAGTGGATTCAGTAATTTAAATTGAAAACGGTTAAATATCAAGTCGACTGACTGCTCACATGTAGCTTGAAAGATTTTGCCTATGACAGTTGTAGGATAACATTTGAAATGGTTCGTATTCGACAAATTAACAGTTTGAAATGTGTTGAACTTTTTTCGGGAGATTTTGGCTGAGTAAGGCAATAATGTCATAATCGTAGATAATATATGAAAAGGCAAAAAATAAAAAAGTAGAACAATAAGCTTGATATGCTTAAATTTTCAATTGCGAAAAGTGTGAGAAATAATCGTAAATAAGAGAAATCCCTATATGAAATCCCAATATGTTTCATCAAGAGATCAATTTAGTTGTCAGTATGATACCTATGGTATTCGAACAAGACACTTTAACGTTCTAATTCAGTCTAATCTAATGATTGTTCAGCTAATTCCAGCTAAAAAAGAAAAGTATATCGAAGTTATTTTAAAAATAATAGCTAACTTTCTATCAGTTTTTCAATTATTCAATTCCAGTATACATGTTGCATTTTGAGCCTTCTCATTGTTTCTGAACTTTTCAATGTCAATTGCTATCATTAACTGGAATGAAATATGAATGTAATCACGTCTTGGAAATTTCCAAAGCTTATTTTTCGAAGACCTTGCGCTTCAACAAATAAATTTATTTTAGAACTCAGAGTTTGCCTTTCCAGAATGCCCGCGAGGTGCATAGTATGTGTCATGTGGCAAGTATAAATTTAAAATATGTGTTTTACAGACGCATTTCATCTGCAGATATCAAAAAAATTGGTGACAGTAGTAAACTGGACATACCCCTGTAATAACGTGATACGATTATTTTTTTCATAACTACCTGAAAAATGATGTTCAGTCTTCTTAGCGCTTGATAACTATCTATGTCATTCTTATTTATTTTGTTGTCGAAATTATGATCTAGACAGATTGTGGAGTGCTACTTATTTGAATCATAAAATTTGGCCTTCTTTCTCATGAACAAAAAACTCACTTATATGAAGTAATAATTACATTTTAAAGTTTTAAGATGACGTCATAAACGACCCGGTTATTTGTTGTGGATTTATTAAGAAAGACTAGCCCAAAAGTTGAAGGAATTAAATATTTTGAGATCGAATTTTGGATATGCATGTACTGGCGCTAAAAAAAATCTCCTCAGATTCAGCAATTTTCCTCACTTCACTAGCTGCAAAACAAGATTTTCAAAAAATATCTGAACTTCGAAAATAAAATGCAAAATAATAACCTGGAAATTATAGCAGGCAGATTTAAAATTATTCATAAAAAGAGTTATTAAGAATGACCTGAAGATCATAACGTGCAATCATTGGTTATCGTGCAGTCATTGGTCAAACAGTGGGAAGTTCGGTGTTTACCGACAGCAAATTTGAGGTAAAAAATGTGTGCATGTTCGAATGTACGACACTGGCTTAAGTGAATATGCTATGACTGAAAGCAAAAGAAATAATAATTGTAGTATGAATAACACCAACAAGTTAATCGCTTTTTTTTCGATATGTTGGAGTACATGAAAGTTGTTTTC